ACTGTAAAAGGGACTCCATCTTCTGAAGTAAATTCTTGCAAATTTCTGATTTTTCTCTAGATGTCCTCTCTGTCATCTACGTGTCAATTGAACTCTTCATACTGTTCTAATTCAATCTATTCTAAATGTTCCCACTGTGAGCTTTTCTTGTGTTTCGAACACATTATTGATCATCAAAATGATTTTCAACCAGTTAGTGTTCACGTTAAACGAACGATTAATGCCATTGAACAATTGAACATAGAACAGCTACATTATCGCAAACACCAGCAAGCACTAGACGAATGGAAAAAGAATATGGAACGACAAATACACGATACTCACGAACAGAAGACCAATGAATTACGATCTATTTATGACGATATTCTCAACGAATATGAACGTAAGTTAATCAGACATGATTTATCATACTGAAGCTTGAAAACTCTCGTAACTGTACAAAAACTTCGAAGATTTATGCTAAACAATCGTTTTGGAATCTCTGTCCCCGCTCAGAAACCGGTTGCTGAAAGGAACTCTCCGATCTTACTGAATTTTCCAGTAAATGTTAATCCTGTCAAAGTACGTTGAAAGGTATTCCAGACAAACAAATCAAAACGTAGGCATCGATGTTTACAAGATTTCCTCTTCATTTTGAAGTCCCACAAAGCTCGGGTTGGTCTTAAATTAATGGCAAAGCTCGGCTCTATGACACAGCTGAACTTGATTTTAAAAATTTTCGTTCCGAAATGTTTTCCTCGATGTTTTATTCTGAACAGCCGAAAAGCCATAACCTGGTTTTATCGAAAATGCTTTTATCTCAAAGACTGAAATGAAGATCAAAACTACGTCTCTTCGCGTGTCATAACATCGAGTCTTCTCTTTCACTTAAGATCAACTCGACTTTTCTTGGGCTAAAAGTTGAGAAGAAATCTTGTAAATGGCCCAAGTAAAATGCAAAATATTCGTTTTTCGAAAACGTCATATTTCTTAAGAAGTTGGATCTGAAAATAATTGATAAATAATTCATGTTGATACGGTGCACATATATGTATATACGTGTATCGCATAGATATTTGCTTGTGTAAGCATTTTTCCTAAAATTATCATTCGTTGACTAACATAACAGTCATTCAGAGCTTTTAGGAAACTTGTTGAAAATTAGGAAAATGCGTTTTTGTAGACAAAATAGTAGAGCATTCGGCAGTGGAGAGTTTGGCTTACCTCACCACGTGTGACTTTCAAGATCGGTTATTCCGAAGAGTGAAATTTTCATTTTGGAAAAGTTAAGGGTTTTTTTGCAGTATAAGATAATATTTCTCGTCTAAGATAATTCACACTTACTATTTTGCAAATGTCGTCCTACACTTTTCATTGTAGAATTTCAATTAACTCGCATTACTTCATTAAAGCGTCAGTCACGTCAAACAACATGTGAAGAATTATTAGACATTCACTTGCGCCTAGAAAAATTCAAGAAAGAAACATTGATTGATGTGCAATTTGGTGGAGATATCTGTTTTGATGTAAAAGTTATTCGAAAAAAGAAGAAGTCAGCTTTATTGAGAGAATCAAGTCCAAATAAGAATGACATATTTCATAGTAAAATAAAATTGATCAAATCATATCAGTTGGAAACGTCTCGAATACCACTATGCACGGCTGACACATCTCGCTCTATCTTGTGTTATGAACAATTGGATAAATTGTTATTGTTTGATGACAAGAAAAAGGTGAATACTACCCTATGGGATTTTGTTAGTTTGGGACAGATAAATGATATCGCCTATTCACACCATCTTAACAAATTTCTTGTACTAGGTGAGAAAGATAAACATATTTTCTATATTTAAGCTAAGTTATACTGTTTTAGGTGTTCATACTATGTGTACCTATGATCTTCTCACATATAAACTAGAAAAAGTGGATCAAATTCGTCCAGTAAATGGTCTTATTAATATGTCACTGACTACTGCTTCGAAAGATTTATATTTGTGTTATGACCAAGGTTACCAGATATCAAAGTATTCA